AAAAAAAAAAAAAAGAAAAAAAGTAAAAACACATCGACACACATTTCAGAAACTATTTAATTGAGTGAGCATATAAAGGAGCTCGTCGCTAGAGGGCGATCAGCAGGTAGGTCCGTCCGACAGGGAAACAACAACAATTCTTAAAACCATTAGCATCTCATCTTGTTCGCCTTGTTGCCCAACCAGGATATTTTTGTTTAGTGCTTCTCGATCTTCACCTTGTTGCATTTGCCTAAGCCATTCCCCCATGCTACCAAAGGATGTGTCGTTCGGGTCCCTTCCGGTTAATAGAACACCCAGTAACATCCCAAAGCTATAAATGCTGCTTTTATCAGTGTACCTAACGAATAATCACCCGATTAGTAAATAATGATTATTATTTATTCATAACAAACTACCAGGGAAAAACGATCAACAATAGTTCCAAAAAGTTTTGCCCATGGAAATTCGAGCGACAAATGGGTTTGCTTGCAAAGTGATCCTTTACGTTTATTTGGTTTTCCCCATGAAGCTTAGTTTCTTCAAGAATAGTTTTTACCCTCATCAAGCATATTGAGAGTTCAAGCAACTCAATAATCGTCTTCAAGAACTGCGAAAGCATTAAATCTATTTGGGAGCAGCTACTAATGTATACCCATGAAAATATAAGCACAAGTGAAAGCAGCTAACAAATACCAATAGACAATTGATATTCTTGATACCTTCAATAAAAACCACAAAATAATAACCTACTTATCATACTCAGGGAACTTGGGTTCGTCATACCTGGAGTTCTTAAAACATTCTGGTGGATTGAAGCCCGATGATGCTCGATCAAAGCCTGGAAAGGTTGTAACTAAACCATAGTCAGCCAACCTTGGCTCGAACTCTGAGTCCAAGCTCACATTCGAGGGCTTCAAGTTATAGTGTAATCTTCTGGGATCACAAGAAAAGTGCAGATAATTCAGCCCTTTATTAATCCCAACCGCTATTCGAAGACGGAATTCCACATAAGCTCCAATTGATTTTCCCTCACTCTTTTCATCACATCCTCAAGACTTCCTATCGGCACATAATCGTAAACCAATGAGCAAACACTGGACTCAAACACATAAGCCCTCAGACTCATTTAAGTCCTCTGCCCCAGGCATGCCAGTTTCCCGAGCTCCTGCAGCATCTTTCTCTTGCTGCGGGCCTCAGATGACGTGCTGGAAAAGGGACCGAGTCTCTTGACAGCAACATTGAGGCCATTGTCGAGCTTTAATGGCTTACCCATGTGACCTTTGTCCTGCTTACAGAAAACTGATACAAAGGCCTCATACAGTTTAGGGATAATTTACGAAAGCTATGACTCAAATAACGTTTGTGATCACACACTCTCACACACAACAGTTGATACCCGTACCCCTTGCACAAGTATTAACACTAAGAGAACCTGAACCAATAATAACTACAATTCAAGGGCTAATCATTTCTCCAGCCCTGACGTTGACTGTGTAAACAAGAAACACGTTTTCAAATGATGTAAATCAATTGGCTACACAATCTTTCTTGTATCTGAATTAGTACTAAAAACTTGAAATGATGGAAAAAAACATCTCTTGCATTGCCAAATTTAACATATCTATGTCTTCTTTGGCACAAACCACATAAAGTAATAATGTACATGAAACATAGGAGTAAGCTATAACTATGCTGACTGATTCGGTAATCTTCTGCTCCGACAAGTATGAGCCTCAAGGTATTATTTATATGTCTGCATCACAACTTGAAAAAGACAACACTCAGTAAGACAAAATTTCAGCCAAAACTGATAGCGCCTATTCTTGTTACTCCGATTTAACTGGTTCATCATCAAACATTTATGTGCCAACTCCAAAACGCATGAGTGAGTTCACGATTCTGAGCTCACCATGGCCAAAGCTGGCCTCCTGGAAGACTGACCACTCAAGCTAGGACTTCTTGTCCCTGTCAAATAGTCCCAATACTAAATACAAGACGAGTCAATCATCAGTTTATTATATGATTAATCGCTGAGGATACAATATAAAGAATGGTGCCACATTAGAGCATGCCGAATGACAAAAGCCTTTTATTCCAACTCATACAATTGTCGGCTCAATTTAGTTTATATCTCATATTATTCTGAAAAAGTATCTGGATTCCTCGTGATATTTGGTAGTAACAAGGAAAGGTCTTACCTGGGTGCTAATCCTTCTGTGTTCCCTCCATCGCCAATCGGAATGTGGGCAGCTCCATAAGGATCTGATCAACAGTTAAAAACACGGTTGTGTTGGAGAAATAAAGAAAAATTTTTAAGTTCAGTGCTCATATGAACAAAGACTAGAATACAAAAGAAAACATACTGACCGCTCATAGGCATGCACATGGCCAGCAAACACACCAGCAGCATAAAGCAAGGGTTCCATTGCTATCTTCATGTCATCACCTTCACCTTGATGAGCCGCATTACTGTCGTACCATATAGCACATGAAATAGTACCAAAATCCAGGGTGTCATCTTGCGATCCACCTTTGAGAGGTCAACCTAATCAGGGTTCAACAGCAAAAACAGCTATATCAACAAGTCGTGCTTCCAATAAAGTCAAATTTCAGTCACAAGCACTGACCAAATCATATATATCCACTAATAAAGCCTTCATTTGAAATATGAAACTTACCATTAGAATTCTGAACCAAACCACTCATGGGAACTAAAGTTCAGGCTGATCATCCAATAGTTATTTACAAGTTAAAACCCCTTGCATATTCCAATATGAATTATTCCGGCTTTTTAGAGTTGTCTGCATTACTTCTTTTACAAAGCGGGCGTTTCATAAACAAACTACTGCTGACTGGAAGAGAGATTATTCCATGAGAAAGTGGTGGAAGAAGCTCATTTTCTAGGTTCACAATCTCAAAGACATGATATAAACGCATTTACAGACGACAACATAGAGATAACATGGATTAAGTACCCAAAAATACCATTTAAATTATATTCCCCATGATAGAAAACTACACAAAAAGGCCACTGGTAAAGGTTAGAAAAACTTCACAGGACTACAAATGAAAAAAGAATTAAACAACAACCAGGTGAAAATCAAACGGCAGATAAACTCTAATTAATGAACTGCCAATATAAAAACCTTTACTGCCATTCTTCCAAAGTGATCCTGAATGAATGGTCTGAAGCATAAAAAATATAGGCTGGTTGCAGCCAGCAAACAACAAGCAACAAAATTTGGTTTACAATGACACCTAAAATTTGGTTCGAAAGGTATTCTATGTATGAAAACATCCTTGCCAGAAAAGTCTCCTACTGCTCTCCTTGCATGGATCACATTTTTGCTCATTTTTTTACACAATAGTCGCATTCCATTACACAAACCTTCAGTGGGATCTAAATTCCAAAGCAAAATAACAGGTGCATCAACCTTTACTTGAAGCTTATGCACGGGCAGACCGCTTGGCGTTAGAGAGTTTATTAGGTCACGATACTAAGCTGCATGTGCTGGGTTTACAACCTTATCAAAACTAAGGTACTCAACTAATTTGCCTGGGAAGTCTGCAATCATTTTATGTTAACCTCATCCACAAAAATATTGTTCGTTGTTAAAATTGCTCATTTTAGTGACATACTATCAACAGGTAAAGATGTTAGCTCAGGATACACACACTTTATTAATTCATCTAATGCAGAATCATGTAGCGATCCATATAGATAGATGTCTACGGCCACAACCACGACACATTAGGAAAAAGCACAAATAAGGCCCAAAAAAATACGGGGACAATTCAATACGGAAAGCTAACAGCAACTTTACTGAATGGGAAAAAGTATTTCTGTAAACCGAAAAAAAAAAAAAGAACAAGCATAGAACTGTTAATGTAGATCCGAGATTATATGCTCTAAAATTTAGTGGATATAAGACTTAGATCGTTCAAAGATGCCATATCACATGATTAGTGCCCACCCAGGTAGAAGAAGTAGGGAAAATAAAAAGATTCTACTTGGTATTTTCAGTATCTTGAATGTTTCGCATGAAGATAGTTTGCCTACAATAGACATATGATATAGCAAACTCCATGTTCACTCGATGCTTTGATTCTTTGTGGATGGCAATGAAGCTTCCATCTGTTGCATTCCTCCACTAATGGAATTTTGTGCATTTAAGTTTGAAGAGTAATTTACTCATAAGTAGTTTCCCCGAGGACAATGTAAGTGTTTCTGGATATTTATTTTGCCGATCTTCTGTGATGTATAGACCACATAGACTGTAATGAGGCATTTGGTGAATGCTGATATATAATAAGGCTAGTTCATCTGTCTACTCTGAAATTCCATGCAACACGTGCAATGTTATACATCTTAATACAATGTCCTTTTTCCTAATAATATACACTTAAAAAAATTTTGTATTTGGATTGCTTAATTGCAATAAGACATGATGTTGTCATTGGTCTGCTTATTTGTGTTCCTGTTTTTTTATTCAGACTCATGGACTAAGAGTTGGCCAAAATGCAACAAACAAGGGATTTGGATTTTTTTTAGGTATGAATGAGACTTTTCCAGCTGTAGTATTAGCTGTCTGGTGAGTGAGGTTCCAAAATTCTATTTCGTGTAAAAGGAAACTTAAACACATAAGTACATCACCATTTTGTGTCACTGTAAAGTTGTTGATATCTCCTAAAACGCAAGTTATACAAGAGACATGGGATTACTCTGCTTGTAAGGGAAAATAATACTTGTTCATGTACAATGAAATTTCTATTGTCTTTTCAAGAATCCTAGTTATATTCAGCCTTAATTCAATATGTACATGTACAAGCAATCAGCAATTTGTTCCAATGTGAAATGGTTTGTTGATAGTTGTCTTCTTCGACGTAATATTTGTGTTCTACAGAATTTCCATATTATGATGTCTTTTTGAAATTGATATTTTGCCATGTGATGATTCTGAATGTGTAATTTAGGCTCAACGTTAATTGGGATGGAAGAAAGAATAAAAGGGTACTGAAAAGGGAACCTACCCCAGGTTTGGTACATTCTTTTTCTTTTTGGATTTTCCAAAAGAACATCTATGTAATGACTAATGATATGATCTATTCTATAAGATGTGTTTTAATTAGTTTCTGAACTTCAACGACACCAGATTCTGATTCTTGTTTCTCAATGATCAAGGTTATACAAGTCATACCTTATTGTGCAGTATAACTGTTTGCTTATGAGACCTACAAAGTACCTTGAAGTTATTTTCTAGGCATGACATCAGTAATTATATAAATTTGTATTTACTATTGCATTTTATTTTTCTATTTTTGAAACTTTTTCGAGGAAATGATGGGGAACTCTCTGTAATTTTAAAATTAGCAGCAGGTGCATGTATTGGCATGACTTCTAACTCTTGTAAGTTCTCTTCAGATTTATGTCACCTCAGATTTATGTCACCTCATGTAATGGTGGCATGTGCTGGCATGAGTTCTTGTAAGTTCTTAGACAACAAACATATTGCTTCAGATTTATGGCATCTTATGTGATGGTGGCATACTGGCAATAATCTTATTTGCAGATTAAAGTGAAGTTGCAAGGGAACTTATTGAGATAAAATGCCATATGAAAAAATTAAACATTCTTATTAAATGTATGAAACACTTCCAAATGTTTTTGGTTTTTCTAACTTATTTATTTATTTTTAATATCTATGTGTGTGTTTGTTCAGGTGATATACCCACTAGATGTCCTCCGCTTGAGGTTGGCTATTGAACCTGGATATAGAACAATGACATATGTAACAAGTTAATATACCATGTATATTGTGAGATGGGGCTCGACACGTGATTTCAAATTATATGTTTTTGCAGGTTGATGTAAGCATGTTGAAAAAGGAAGGCCTTGGGTCCTTTTACAATGGTCTAGGTCCTTCTATTATTGTGCAGGTTGTTGTGAGCTTACCTAACATGCACTTCTTTCCGACATAGTGTTGTTCAAAAAATAATTCAAATTATCTGGATTGAACTTGACATATTCTAAATTCCAATAACAGAACGACCTAGGCCATTGTAAAAAGACCAAAGGCTTACAGCAAGCAACCTGCAAAAACATACATTAATTTGAGATCACGTGTCGAGCCCCATCTCACGATATACCATGGTGTATTAACTAGTTACCTATGTCATTATTCTATATACAGGTTCAACAGCCAACCTCAAGCGGAGGACATCTAGTGGGTATGTCATCTGAACACACACACGCATAGATATTAAAAATAAATAAATACGAACAGAAAAACCAAAAAACATTTGGAAGTGTATCATACATTTAATAAGAATGTTTAATCTTTTCATATAGCATATCATCTCAATAAGTTCCCTTCAACATCACTTTAATCCGCAAATAAGATTGATGTCAGTATGCCACCATGACATGAGGTGCCATAAATCTGAAGCAATATGTTTGTTGTCTAAGAACTTACAAGAGTTTAAGTCATGTCATCACATGCTGCTAATCTTGAAATTACAGAGAGTCCCCGTCCTTTCCTCAAAAAAGGTTTTCAAATGGAAAAATAAAATGCAATAGTAAATACAAATTTGACATAATTGCTGATGTCATGCCTAGAAAATAACTTCAAAGTATCTTGTAGGTCTCATAAGCAAACAATTGTACTGCACAATAAGGTATGACTTGTATAACCTTGATCATTGAGAAACAAGAATCATAATAAGTTCAGAAACTAATTTAAACACATCTTATAGAACAGATCATATCATTAGTCATTACACAAAGATGCTTTTGGAAAATTCAGAAAGAAAAGAATGTACCAAACCTGGGGTAAGTTCCTTTTCGAGTAACCTTTTATTACTTTTTCCATCTCAATCAATGTCAAGGCCTAAATTTCACATTCAGAAAATCATAACATATGGCAAAATATCACTTTCAAAAAGTTATCATAATATGGAAATTCTGTAGAAAAAAAATATTACGTGGAACAAGACAACTATCAGCAAACCATTTCACATCGGAACAAATTGTTAATTGCTCGTACATGTACATATTGAATCCAGACTGCATATAACTAGGATTCTTGAAAAGTCAATAGAATTTTTATTGTACATGAAAAGTAGTATTTTCCCTTACAAACAGAGTAATCTTATGACTCTTGTATAACTTGCGTTTTAGGAGATATCAACAACAGTGACACAAGATGGTGATGTACTTATGTGTTTAAGTTTCCTTTACACGAAATAGAGATTTGCAACCTCACTCACCAAACAGCTAATACTATAGCTGGAAAGTCTCATTCATACCTCAAAAAATCTAAATCCCTTGTTTGTTGCATTTTGGCAACTCTTAGTCCATGAGTCTCAATAAAAAAAAAGGAACACAAACAAGAGAACAATGGCAGCATCATATCTCACTGCAGTTAAGCAATCCGGATACTAAATTCTTTTAATTGTATATTATTAGGAAAAAACATTGTATTAAGATGTATAACATTGCACGTGTCGCATGGAATTTATGAACTAGCCTTATTATATGTCAGCATTCACCAAATGCTACTCTTTAAACAGAAATACACAGAATTCCATTCGTGGAGGAATGCAACAGATGGAAGCTTCATTGCCATCCACGAAGAATCAAACACAGTAAAATGTTTCAAGTAATTTAATATGCCAAATATATTATTCATCCACTGACAAGTGATAACAAGTGATAACAGACAAGGAAATATCAAATTCGAAAATGATAAAATAAACATAACAGAGCGACGATAAATTAAACGAGACAGAGAAAAGGAGAGAGATAACCTGCAGATTTGGACGCGGTCCAGAGGTGCCAAGATGGCCGTGGCAGCTCCGGAGATGGCGTCGACCACTATGAGAGTCAGAAAGTCCTTTGTACGCTCCGACAACGAAACACACGCCATGCTTCCCCTCCTTCTGTTGCTGACATCGTCAGGGGCTACGAGACCGTTAATTTTACGGCAGACTAATCTAGCCCTAATAGCCATTTTTTGACCGCAGGTTTGTGCTCTCGCTAGCTCCTCGATCTACTCTGTTCAGATAAGCTGTGAGGAGAGAGAAATGGAAAGGGTAATGTAGAGATAAATCTCTAATGCACACATCAAGTTACTTGTTAGTTCCAACTTATTTTTCTTTATGCACTCTCTATCAATTTTTTATTTTTCCTCTCAACTACCCATATATTATTTACCATTAAAAAAGAAAAAGCCAAGAAAAGTTTCAGGTCTCTTATTCCAGTTCAGTAACCGAAAATTGGTGTGCCTTATTCATCCAAAATCTCTCTCATTTTCCCTATCAATCGACTTAATATTAGAATGAGTGTAAAACATGTAAGCTTGGGCCCACTTCATTGTTCTTTTCCTCCTCACATGTATTGTTCTTTTCCTCA